ATAGCGGGCTCTCATAAGGCACTCACAGTTGATCACCTACAAAAGAAAGGGATCTCAATCCCCAACAGATGCATCATGTGTTTGTGCGAGGAGGAATCCAATACCCACATTTTCATCCATTGTAATTTTGCACACGACCTCAAGAGCCTTCTACTACAACTGTTCGGTGTCCATTGGGTAACACCATCAATGGTCAAAGATCTGTTATCTTCAAATTATGCCTCTCATTGGCCGAAAGCGGCCAGAATCCTATGGAAGGCGACTATGACAGCAACCATTTGGATGCTCTGGACTGGGAGAAATGCCATAATGTTTCAAGGACAGGCCTGCCTGGTCCCATCTCTCTTTCACAAGGTTACATCCTTAGTAACTTTTTGGGCATCCAACCACCACCTTTTCAAGGGTATCCCATCGAATTCCTTCCTCAATCAATGGAAGAATATTCTTCTTCATAGACCAAGAAGGAGAAAAGATCAAGCATTTGGAAGCCACCCCCTGATGGAGCAATGAAACTAAATTTTGATGGGTGCTCATTGGGAAACCCCAGCCATGCAGGAGCGGGTGGTGGCTTTAGAGATCACCAAGGTCATATTCTCTTCACCTACTCCGAATTGGCTTCCAAGATTCCTAGTATGCCGAATCATTGGCTCTCCTCAAAGGCCTGCAAAGTTTTGCTCGATCTTGGGGACAAAACCTAATAGTGGAGGGTGATGCCCTAAACATCATTACTTGGGCTACTAGGAACGTTACTCCTCCTTCGTATCTTGCACCACTTTATGACGAGATCGTACACACTTGCAGGGATATGGCCGTCTGTTGGATGCATACCTCGAGGATGTCAAACGAGCTCGCCGATCTGCTGGCAAAGGACAGAGCCAAGGCCCATGACGACGACGGCTAGGCCCTTTCCTTTTTTGCTTTGGACCGCAGAGAACACTAGTTGAAGAACACCTTACTGTGAACGGGAAATTTTTTTGAGCCTTTTTTCATAAATTCACTGTATACTTTGTAAGGGAGCTCTAACATCATTGAGTGTTTAGATCAAATGGGGGCCATTTTATAATTTTTGGTTTCTTACAGATGCATGGCAAACTTTACACTTTCTCTTACCGGTCAATACGAGATGAATGTGCAAGCGTATGTAGTGTTGATATCTTAATGCCTCCAAACTTAAATGCACGTTAATGCATGGGGAATACGCATATCCGCACCATTGGTGATACATAAGAGATCCATATTCATACGTTTCTGCATCTGCTATAAGTTACTGCAGGGGGGTCAATCTATTCTCATGGGTGGCAATTATTATATGCTTTGTATTAATAATTTTCTGCATCTGCTCTGCTGCTGATATTCTCACTCCCTCTCCCACCATAAATCTGGTTTATAAGGATGCCACAAAAATAATCATATTTCTGAGAACTGTTTTACAGTTGTGAAATGGCCATAGGTGTGGTTTGAGTACCGAACATGACATTTGCATCAGCAGGGATCATGTTGAATGCTGCGTGGTCTTCGTTAGACAGTACAACTATCATTCAAGAAAAGCAGGTTGAACTTATCATCTCATGTGGGTAAGTGGCTTTTCATAACCAGATATCCCCTATATACAAACAGCAGGGGCTTGTGTCTATGCATCCTCTATCATGCCTTTCTGGAGATGGTACTCAAATGATAACCTGCTTCCTTTCATTATATAGAAGAGTGAGGTGCTTTCTTATTTCTTACATATATGTGCAGATTCTGTCACGCTTTCAAGGCTACTCGAATATTATTCTTAGCATTGACTGTTTGTTCGACTAGTCAGGTTAGCTTAGATTTAGAATACTTGCTTCTACTTTATTATTAGATATTAGTTCAATATTTTGTCACATTGTTAATCACCCTCAATCATGCGATTCCTAGTGCATCGATTTTAAGCATCTCTGCAGAATAGCATCAGACGTAGTTGAATCATTTTGTAGGTTGCAGTCAGAGATATGGCTTCGCTTCACAGAAGTTTCAAAACCGCATCTTTCTTTTAGATTCTGAAGATAAAGATGCTTTCCAGATAGTCAGACATTTGATCTGATTCCCTGGAGTGTCATTTGGTTGGAAGACTTTGTAATTGACCTGTTGTATTAATAAGGAAGCGCATTAATCTCCTACTTAAACTCCCCTAGTGTAGAAGGCAACAAAGTGTCTGACCATGTCAACAGAATTAGAAAGAAGTGTACCATAGGGTTACCACAAATATCTGAGCTAATCAAACTTCAAACATCATATGTCTTCAAGCTCTACCCTCCGATTGTGACTCAGTATTGTGTTATTTGTGCTAAAGAGTTGTGGAAAACTCATTGTCAAATGTTGAAATGTGGTCATGCCTTACACATGATTTTGATATGGTCATAGCACATTCTGCATAGATACTGAATCTTATTGTAACTGTTCTAGAATCGAAGAGGATTAATCCTACAACCTTGAGCATTATTGAGAGAATTGAGCAATCTATTTGTAACTCAAGCATGTATTGCACCCAAGTTAACAATTCTCTAAGGAAACTCAGGGTACAAGGAGAGTTTGCAAAAATTCTTCAGTCACCATTTGCATTTGGCTATTACTTGTTGGTGGCCAGTGTCGATATCCCCATGATTATGAGCTCCATGTGTTATACTTGATTCCTCTGTTAATGGTGTTATTTTTGCAATTGGGCAAGAAAAGGCAACAGAACACTAGGAAATGGTTAAGTACACTGTTCCAGACCAAGGGATTCATTTGCATCTATAATCCGTTCAATCTTATATTCAAGAACTAATTCTTGGTAATGTGCTGCACATGTAATAGTGATGGTTCCTCATCCTTATCCATGTTATAGCATCCCCAACACATGAACATTTATTCTAGATTGATGTATTAAGGGAATAAGTCTTGCAGGGCCACATCTCCAACAAATTGGGCTTCTATCTTCTCTTTCCGGGATTAGATTCAGAGTTCTACTAGCCATATCTTTCATTCCTTTGCCCTTTTTAGACTGCTCACCCATGATTGGAGCATTCTCACAAGGAACAGGAGGAACAGATCTCAAGTTTTTCCAACATGTAAAGTCACAACTGCTTAGTATTCTCATTATTTAAAGTTGGGTATTCTCAAAAAAGTGCCAGCATTTAAAATGTAGTTTTTCTTTCGATTTTAGGATTGCATCATTCATTCCCCATATGTTGTAGACACTAGAAAACAAACAGTTAATAGACCTAGGACCAATTGTTATCTAGGAATCCAGACCTTGAAAATCACACAACCAAAGACATGAAATTATCCATGCCAAATAAGAAACTCATTCCAAAATCAAGTAAACTCCAATTTCTGGATTAACGTGCTCTGGGAAAGTAAAACTCAGGTGTAGTTTTGGAACTGTAAAACTCAGGTGTACCAAAGTTCTAACAAACGCTGAAGCAAGTTGACAATTTATCAAGTCTTCAATTGAACTACCAGAGCTCTAAGATGGGCAAGTTTTGCCTGCTTCTAGTTTCTTCCTTATTCCAGTGCTCATTTCTAACAACCGTTAGAGAGCGAGCGAGAGAGAGAGAGAGAGAGAGAGAAAGAGAGAGAGAGAGAGAGAGAGAGAGAGAGAGAGAGAGAGAGAGAGAGAGTAGTAAGTAAGTAAGTAGTAAGTAAGTAAGTAAGTAAAGTAAAGTAAGTAAGTAAGTAAGAAGTAAGGAAGGTAGTAGTAGTAGTAGTAAGTAGTAGTAGAGAGTA